GACCTCACACACGCTGGTATCACACACACATCGGTACCTCACACAGGTACCCCACACCAGTACCTGGCACCAGTATCTCACACACACCAGTACCGCATACCAGTACCCCACACCGGTACCACACACACACTGGTACCTCACACAGGTACCCCACACCGGTACCTCACACCGGTACCTGGCACTGGTACCGTGCACACACTGGTAACTGGCACTGGTACCTCACCCTGGTACCGTACACCTGTACCCCACACCGGTACCCCACACCGGTACCCCACACCGGTACCTCACACCAGTACCTCACACCAGTACCTCACATCAGTACCTCACATCTGTACCCCACATCTGTACCCCACACCAGTACCTCACAGCTGTACCTCACACCTATACCTCACACCAGTACCTCACACCAGTACGTCACATCAGTACCCCACACCGATACCACACACCAGTACCTCACACCAGTACCCCAGTATCACACACTGGTACCTCACACCATACTGGTATGTCCTGTATGTACCAGTACCCCATACTGGTATCCCACACCAGTACCTCACATCATTACCCCACACCAGTACCCCACACTGGTACCCCATACCGGTACCCCACACTGCCATCCCTGCCCTTGGCTGTGCCAGACGGGCCAGCTCAGCATGGAGTTTCCATTCCAGGTGCTCTGGGGAACCGCAGGGCTCAGGGGCAGAGCTTTGGGAACCTGGCGTTCGCCTGCAGCCAGCTGGGGAAGCACAGGGATGCTGCCGAGAGCTACCTGCACGCCCTGCAGGCCTTCAGGGACTCGGGTGAGGGCAGGCACATCCCGCAGCCAGCGGGCTCAGGCTGGGCAATCCTGTCTGCCGGGGATCTCAGCTGAGCAGTGCAGGGATTAACACAGCCCTTTGCCTCCCAGGGGACTTGCAGGGGCAGTGGCAAGCGTGTGAGGGGCTGGGGGCAGCGTGCTTGCACCTGGGAGACCCCCAGAGAGCCATCGGGCACTATCAGGAGGCCCTGGTTTTGCTTTCCCGCTGTCAGGTAAGGCATGATGGGGCACTGGTCTCAGCCCAGGGTGCACCCACTTAGTCCATCACATATATGTGTTCTCTCCATCACAGGACAGCCCCAGAGCTGCCCACAAACGGGTGGTGCACAAGCTCACAGATGCCATCCAGCACCGACTCCACCTCAGCAACCTCTCCTACCCCAACCCAGGCCTGGTGAGCATCACCCAGGGCATGGTACACTCTGGAGGGCTGGGAACTGGGGCCCCAGTAGGGCTTTGGTGGGCACATTAACACATGTTCATCCCATCAGGAGCCCAGCCAGCTGCAGTTTTGCTCCACACTGCCCCGTGCCAGTAGGACACAGCTCCAGGGGAGCAAGGTGTGAGTAGCAAAGCTGCCATCCTCTCTCTCTCCTTCCTCTGGAATGAGTTTCCAGATCAACCAGGAGAAAAGCCTTCCTTCACTCCATGTCCTTCAGGGGGAAAGCCCAGGCTGAGGACGAGCTGTACTGGTGTACACCAGGAGCACATCCCAGGTATTCAGGTGAGAGGCTGCAAATTAAACGTGGGGTTGAGCCATAAGGCAAATCCTGGTGGAGCTGTCTTTGGCACAGTCTGATACTGTGCTCTTGTCTGTTTGTCCTGGAGGCACAAGAGTGGCCCTGACTGGTGGTCTCACACTGGAGCCTTGCAACCCAAGTGGCCTCCTGGGCACCTCTGGGGAGGATGATGATGGTCCCAGCTCAGCCTCAGGCTATCACAGTGAGCCCCAGGCTAACAGGTGGGTGGGCAAGGGGGAGGCACCTCAGTACAGCCCCTGGCACCAAATACCTCTGCAGCACAAGGAACCTCTCCTGTTTAACGGTGAAAATCCAGAGATTTTTAAAGATACATAATTCTGGGAGTGTGTTTGGGGTCATTCCAGCTGGATCCTGGGGAGGATCCAGCCATGATGTGACAGGGGAGCTGTCCAGAAGCCCCACATGAGGTTCACTTGTCTCTCAGCACGAGGACCACCAGCCCCCTGCCCCCGGCCAAGCCGCCCCATGCCAGCCCCCAGCTCCGTAAGTACCACAGACCAGCAGAACATCAATCCTGCAGTGAGCCCAGGCCTGAGGGTCTCACACTGCATCCCACAGGGCACCAAAAACACCAAACCCTCCATCAGAGGCCTCCAGAGAGGTAGGCAATGCCTTGGGGGAGTGGGCAAGGGAGGTTTGGGTTCCAGAGGGGAGGGCTCATGAGTGGAACCTCATGAACCCAGCAGAGCTGTTTCTTGGAATGGACACGATCCCAAGCCAAAAGTCACAGGGGCTGGGGTATTGGTACCTCATAGCCCACACCAAAACCGTGCCCTATGGATGGGACAGCAGATCTGAGGGTGGTTTCCAGTCCCCTGGTATGAACCTCTTGCTCATTCCTGCCTTCCAGTGCTTAAAGAGGCTCCAACAGGGCTGGAGAGGGACTTTGGACAAGGGCTGGTGGAACAGGATAAGGGGGAATGGCTTCCCACTGCCAGAGGGCAGGGTTGGATGAGATATTGGGAAGGAATTCTTTCCTGTGAGGGTGGGGAGGCCCTGGCACAGAGAAGCTGTGCCTGCCTCATCCCTGGAAGCATTCCAGGCAAGGTTGGACAGGGATTGCAGCAACCTGAGACAATGGAAGGTGTCCCTGCCCATGGCAGGGGGTGGGATGAGATGGGCTTTAAGATCCCTTCCAACCCAAACCAGTCAGTGACTCTGTGATTTGATTATTCCATTTTGCATCCTGCTGGACACCCTCACTCCCCGTGACGCCTCCGTGACCTGGCAGCCGTGACAATGACCCC